TTCCGTTTCTTTTTTATTTTTTACTAGAATTCATGGACTCTTCTAATGAATTCTCAACACGACTAAAAATGTATATAGTTGACATTTTGAATAGCCATATCTGTCTATGCACTTTTACTTTTTATGCGCGTTAGCTAAGTTTGAACTTCCTTCTCATACTTAGGGGCCTTAATGGTGTTAACACTGAAAGTCATCTCGTGTGCAATCAATTACAATGATGGGGTTTTGAAAGAGGAAGGTCTGCGTGAGTCGCAGAAGAAAAACCGGTTGATTAAGTTACCCTCCTTGATTGAGTACTTTGGCTACTGCCTCTGCTGTGGTAGTCACTTTGCTGGTCCAGTTTATGAAATAAAGGATTATCTTGACTGGACCGAAGGAAAAGGGGTATGCTTATTATGTACCAAGTGTCTAACCTTCTTCTCAGTTCTGTTTTCTTGAATTGATTTTTTCTCATACTTTGGCTTTTATTAATTATCATTTTCAGATATGGAGCCACTCAGATAAAGGACCGTCTCCATCACCCTATGGAGCAACAATTCGAGCTCTTCTCCAAGCTGCATTCTGTATGGCCTTGTATTTATATTTGGTACCCAAATTTCCTTTGTCAAGATTTACTGAGCCCATATACCAAGAATGGGGGTTTTGGAAACGATTGGGCTACCAGTATATGTCTGGATTCACAGCAAGGTGGAAATATTATTTCATTTGGTCAATATCAGAGGCTTCTATCATTCTTTCTGGTCTCGGTTTCAGTGGCTGGACAGAGTCCTCACCACCAAAACCTCGATGGGATCGTGCAAAAAATGTTGATATTATAGGCGTTGAGTTTGCGAAGAGTTCAGTTCAGTTACCACTTGTTTGGAACATACAAGTCAGCACCTGGCTTCGCCATTGTGAGCATTTCTTTTGCTTCCTAAGTTTTCTTTTTTGTCAGTAACATACAATCCCAACATTTTCCTAGGAAACTATTTTTGCATATCCAAACTATGAATCCTAGTTAGGACTGAGTTGGATTCTGTTTTATGCTTTCTATATGCAAAGAACTATATGAATAATTGATCATATAGTTTGGTATCTGGTCCCTTCAGTTTTCTTCCTGTTGCATTTCATTGCTGAGATATTTTCTACTTTTAGCTGTGATCAAGAAAGCGCATATTTTGTTTAATTAACTAATATATTATCCTTCTGTAGATGTTTATGATAGGCTTGTTAAACCTGGCAAGAAGCCTGGTTTCTTCCAGTTGCTGGCTACACAGACCGTCAGTGCTGTTTGGCATGTGAGTATAAACTGTCTTACCCTCATCCTGAATGTGTATTTTTGTCATTTGCTGATTTTGTGTCCATTTTAGATTTTGTTTCTTCAAACAATAGCTCTGCTGCAAATGCATTCATTCTACGGAGTGGATTTAGCTGTCCATTTTTATAATTTAAAAAATAAGAAAAATAAAAAATAAGGAAAAGCGGTCAACTACTACCAGATGATTAACTGGTTGACAGTTCTCTTCAAAACGTCAGATAAACAGTTTCCTCGTGTAACTTATGTGTGGACTTTGTTACTTTGTAGTGTTCTGTTCCCTAATAAGGATGCTGGGACTGATTGTTTTAGGGCACCGGAAGGATGATTTACTCTTCCTCTAGTAGAGTATTGAGTACACTTTTTAATTCTTAGTTTTGCAATGTAATAAATTGTGTGGGAAATTCAATGTTAATATAACCTACATGGTTTAGTGCATTTTACGTTAAAATCTTGTGTTTAAGTTTTGTGCCTTTAACAAATACTAGGTGAAAAATAGGTGGCTGGGTGGAGTAGAATTTGTTTTTGGGAGGGGGGGATGGGGTGACAACATGCCCTCCAGTTTTGTGTTTCATGCCACCACTTTTCTGAATAGATTTCTGTGACGTGTTATTTTAAACGTAATTATGATTCTTGTGTTATTACATGTGTTTCTATAGTTTTCTAGAACACCTAGGAGTTATACCATTCTAATGATTGATGGCAATGTCTTCAACAAAAAAAATATGGCAGTCTATATTGTACGTTGTGCCAATGTTTGGTGCCCATTTGTGTTCAAATTGCTAAAGTGAAATGATATTTATTTTGGGTGGGAGGGTAGTTCATTATGCAGACCTTATAGTTTCATGTACTTGCAATGTTAACGTCATAATTTCTGATCATCCACCATGCAGTGTTGTCAAGCCAAGTTCCAAAAATTTGTGCTCGGACCCATTAAGTTTCTCTTACATTAACTAGTCGGCTTACTTTTGTTTCTTAGCCTTATGCTCTCTTATCTCCGGAATATGTTTGATTTTTCGCACGGTTCAAACTTGAATTTTCTGTATCATATTGGTTATTTTCTGAACTGCAGGGCCTCTATCCTGGGTACATCATATTCTTTGTTCAGTCAGCGTTGATGATCGCTGGATCAAGAGGTATCGGTCTTTCCACTTCTAATTCACTAATTATTTCTTTGTTTCATTAAATTGCTATATGTGCTTTAATAAGCAAGCATATACTAATTATTCCTTTTTTAAGATAATTAATCTGTATCGTTTTCTACCTGTTCCGCAAGCAGTGATTTACCGATGGCAGCAAGCTGTGCCTCCAACTATGGATGTTGTTAAGAAGATATTGGTGTTCATCAACTTTGCTTACACTGTCTTGGTTCTGAACTACTCCTGTGTTGGTTTCATTGTTAGTCCTTGCTCTCGCTGTCTCTCGCACATACACATGTCGTTTTAGACACACACATGTACATGAACACATGCGATTAAGACACACGCATGCATATGAGCACATCATCCAAACATACCATGACCATGACACACGCATGTACATGAACACATACGACCCTCTGATGCTTTAAATTTTCTCATGCACCCGTCTCACATGGTGCAGGTATTAAGCCTTCGCGAAACACTGGCCTCGTATGGAAGCGTGCATTTCATCGGAACCTTTCTTCCCGTAGCATTGATCCTACTGAGTTACGTAATAAAACCTCCAAGGCCTGCGAAATCAAAGCCTCGGAAGGAAGAGTGAGGTCGTCTGCTGCAATGAGATAAGAAGGCACTTCTTTTCTAAGTTTACTTCACCTTGTTTCACAATGGTTTTAACATCTGTTCCACCGAAAATGTTGATCATGATAACTTCCGAATCAATGTTTATTTGAGTAGAGCATCTGTTTCATCTTTTGTAGCGTCAACCTCCGTAAGCGAAATCACGCGAATAACGAACCGGAAGGCAATTGTAGTAGCTTAGCAATAGCAATTCTTTAGCTGTCCAAACAGATGTTATCGGAAAACAATGTTCTAAATGACGTTAGGTGCTAGTCGGACAGTGAGTTTGGGCCTAACACCCAGGTGGATAGGCAGATTAGGCTAATTTAAGTAAATTTATTATATATTATATAAATAAATTCCCATTTATAAAAATACATAATTGCAAAATAAAATGACAAATATTTTATAAAGTATTAGAACATATTCAAAACATAAGATCAAGTATATAATGAGTGTTCATTCAAGTATTGAAAAAATAAAATGTAAAATGAAAGCTATCAATTTTTTGTCTAAATGAGGGTTGCGACCTAGCGCTAAGTGGGTTTAGGTGGGTTAGGTAGGTGCCTAGGCGAACTAGGCGGATTCCTAAACGGGTCTAAATGCACTTTCTTAAATTTCAAGCGTTTAGGGACTAATCGGGACGATGACTAGTTGTCTAGCACTTAGTCGAGGTTTAGATGGCGTTAGACGAAAATTTTTAAAACAGCGTTGGAAAATAAGATTGTTGGTGCCAGTTTTACAGTTGAACCGACACAAACATCTTTTAAGTTAAACTTGAGGGACAGTTTTGGAGGAATTGGGTTTGATTCATAATTGCATGATGCACCAATGTCGGTTTTCGAGTCGAGCATTTCATCGTCAAAGCCTTAATTAAAGAGCCAATGATCAAAGATTTAATCGTAAAAAAATAGTATAATTTAAGTCTGGTTGAAGGACCAATAAAAAATGTTAGTATTTATTTCGATAAACTCGAATTGATGTGTTAACCTATGAGATTGCAGAGACGGCTTTGGTGTGCAAAAATGAGAGAGTTTATCTTTTGACTATCTTGTCATCACGTGGACTATTAATTCAATTAAGCTTTACTTCAAACATGAAAAAATGCGACGTACCTTCTATAAAGGGTAGAGAAAATGTTAAGAAGACTCTCTTAAATATAAGACTCTTTATGGACTCTTTATTACCTCATGATTTTGACATAATACTTTATAATTTTAGCATAAAAATTAACATTAAAATATGAGATGACAGAAAATTCATATAAAGCTCTGCTTTTAGAGTTACCTTGGCATTTCTCTAAAATAAAATAATTTTGAGCTTCATAAATAAATACCAATTATTTTCTTGTGGCAAGACAGTAATGTCCCTCAGAACAACCACATTTACGCAACCCAGATGGGTGCCAACTGGCTGAGATTTTCTATCTGCTTAGTTGGCTTGCATGTTCCGCTTTTTAATTCTATGTTGGCTTTCCTTTTCAATTATGTACAGGGGAGAACAACTTTTATAGTACAAATTTATTATTATTGTGTCGTTTTGTATTAATAATGTAATAATATAATTCCACTTAATACTACAATCTAGTTGTATTTTTTTTTACTTGTAAGTGAGAGAATTTAGGTTTCACTCTCATTAAAAGCGAGTTTGAATTGCATTATTGCAAACTTATTGTGAGGCTGAGCCTCACTTCACTTTCCGTAGAATAAATAATATCGTTTGTTATGAAAAAAAAAAATTGTAATGACAGGGTTTCTCTGCACATAACGTTGTATTATCATTACGAAAACCAATGTAGTTGTCCACCCGTTGCTATGGGGAAAGAAACATATATCTTATTCTATAATCTTTTCCTGCTTTAATTTCTTTTGTTTTGGTGTTGAATTTTGAGTTTACATGAACACACACGACAGTCTTGAACAAGAAGAAAAAAAGAGAGTTAAAAGATCTGAATTCTGCATGTAAAATGCTTATTGTTATTTGCCATTTGTGGTTTTATTTTACCTTAAAATCCAAATAGTTGTCTCTATTTTTTGTCCCTCTCCTTACGTTCACGTAAACTGATGTGGATTTTTCTCTTTTCCCCCCTCTTTTCCATTTTTTGTATAAAAATTTTATTCCCTTCACTCACTTCACCTTCTTTCTCTGCTGGCCATTAGTTTTCTCTCCTTTTTCTTTCCCATTTTCCATTGTTTCTCCATTGCTTTGATTAGATCTCAATTTCCTCCTTACTCTCTCACTCTTGACAAAGTTTTGGTCACGTTTCCGTCATCTGTCTCACTTAGTTTATAGTTATGCTCGTCTAATCCTCTGTTTCCTTTTGCTATTGTCGTCAATAGAAAAAGGCTGTTAATATTACTTGTAACCGTTGTTTTTGTTTTGCACCCTTTCTTCCCAATTCTTTCACCATTGGGTTTTCTTTGATTCCACGATAGGGATCGAAGGGTTCTTTCTTCTCTGTTGGGTTACTTTGAATCCAAGCAAAGAACATTGCACGAAAACTCTCGGCTTCTCTTGAGTTTCTTGTTCAAGTAGTTTTCTTTTTTCTTGGTCTTACCCTCAGAAGATCAAGAAATAGATTATAGATGGAACCCATGAAGTCAAAGAAGAACAAAATGCTTTCTTCGGAAAGCAAGCGCTCTGATGACGATGGCAGGGGATGCCCCGATAGCGCAGGCTTGGAAATCAGGCCGGGGGGAATGCTGGTGCAAAAGCGAACCGTTGAGATGAATCCCAGTTCTGTTTCAATCCCCACAATCAAGATTAGAGTCCGTTATGGCTCTTCGTACCACGAAATTCTAATCAGCTCCCAAGCAAGCTTTGGTACTAGTTTGAAATTTCGAATCCATAAACTTTTGTTTTGGAATTGTTTTGTTTAATTGAATTTGGTTTTGAATTTGCAGGGGAGTTGAAGAAAATGTTGGCAGAGCCAACGAAATTGCACCATCTGGATCAGAAGCTAATATACAAAAAGAAAGAGAGGGACTCCAAAGAGTATCTTGATGTGGCAAGAGTTAAACACGGATCAAGGATGGTGCTGGTGGAGGACATTTTGGGCAGAGAAAAAAGGTGCCTAGAGTTGCTCAGAAATTCAAATGCAGAGAAATCTTCGAAATCCATAGCCGAAATCAACTTGGAAGTGGACAAGCTTGCAGGCCAGGTAATGAAATTGAATCAAAATTTGGGGGAAAAGAACTCGAACTTGGGCGCAAGCGTGCAGTGACGAACTGGCCTAATCGCTATCTACTGAATAGTTTGTATTAATATCCTTTTTGTTGTAAATAGGTCACATCTTTGGAAACAACAGCTTCCGCAGGTGGGAAAGTTTCCGAGACGGATGTGGAGAAATTGACTGAGCTTCTAATGATGAAGTTGATTAAACTGGATGGAACTGTTGCCGACGGAGATCTAAAATTGCAGAGAAGAGTGCAGGTATTATAAATTTCAACATCTTTAAAATGTGTTCTACTTGCACATTATTTGTATTATTCTAACTGTTGGTTTACAAACTTGAAGGTGACAAGAGTTCAGAAGTACATAGAAATTCTGGACATGTTGAAGCATCAGAACTCCAAATCTAGCAGCAATGGGAATAAAATCAAATTGCAGCAACAAGACAGTTCAACCGGCCACATGCCAAAGGACTCAAAACCGACACAAAAACAAAGCATGCATTGGAAACTAGAAAATTCGGTACGAAAAAATCCAGTGATGCAGCAGCAACAAGAGAAGAATTCTGAGTCAGTTGTTGTTACAACAAAATGGGAAACTTTTGATTAAAACCAAAAGGGCTAATTAGAAGTTGTTTGAGTACGTTCTTCCTCAAATTAGAGTCCAAAACAATGAGAATTGCATTGTTAAAACATGTATAATTAAATACATTGTTCCTGGTCTGATTTTCCATTTCTTACAATTAAGTGGTATCTCATTTTTTTTCTCTACTTTTGGGGTTTGCTGTTTGCAAATCTGTAAATAACTTTTGGTGGATAAGTAAAAGAAGGGAAAAGGAATAAAGGAAGAGATGCGTACAAAACACAAAATGGAAGTTGTAATGTGGTTGGTTCCATTCAAGTTGTATGATTTTTCATTTTTGTACCAGCGATATTTTACCCTGCGAAAACGGAGATTCATATTCAGATATACAGGGAAGAGCACATCTAGTCTAACCAACATAACTATGTTGTTAATCGGCATTTTAGCCAAAATGATCCATAAAATTGACATAACTTCTCAGTTCAGTCTTTGAAGATGAAAGTTGCTCAAGTGGTCTTTGAATTTGTCCACTGTAAATCATTTTAGTCATTCTGTGAAAAATTTGTCAATATCTTTGTTAACTACACTTTGTTTGTCTAGGGACCAATGGATTGGACCATTCGGTTCATCTTCTTTTTTTTTTTCAATTATTTATAGCCTATTTATTTTTCACAAGTGGTTATGAATCTATGATGAAACAAGTAAATGGAATTAAGGTATGCAGAACCACAAAAGATCCCTTGTTTCCTGTATGGCTGCATTGCTGCTACTGGAAATTAAAGAATTGCAGAAAATCATAGTGGAATGGATACCCTTCTGATTAATCATACAAAAATAATAGAAAAGCAGGTTTGACTTTAGAAGATGTGATATGATATGGAGCATGCTGCCAACATGTTCTGATATAGAAAAATAAAAAGTTAAAACAATATTATCTGCAGATTCACTATGTTAATCAAATTCGGTAAAACATTTAGCAATGTCAAAGTATCAGAAGCCTGTAGGAGTACTTGATCATTGCAGTTATAAGTTTTCATTTGAATTACTAACATGTTGAAACGTGAACCAAACTCAAATGTATCATTATTGAGGAAAAACAGTTGATTTTTGAGGGTTGCATCGATATTTTATAACTTTTACCTGGTTGGTTTTGTGGTATAACTAACAACAGATTATAGGTTAAAATTAGCACCAAATGCATCAACATTTCACGATTACACTTCGCGTGCTGCCCATGGTCCATGGCTTTATAAATAGAGAAGTGATAGAGAAGGCTGAAAAGAAAAATTGGTTTTTGCTAGTCGCATCGGTCCTTTATAACTTGTTGGTTTCGTGGTATAACTAAACGTCAATAAATTATACATTAAAATTGACACCGAATACATCGACATTTCACAATTACATGTTGGCCAGGTGAGACCAAGTGATAGTGCTTGGGCATGAAATCCAGATATGGGCCGAGAGTAAAAAACCAAGATGGAAGGTTGTGACTATCGGCTCAATAATGAATTTTCAGTCCATGCAACATTCTCAGCTCAGAAATAGAATGCCAGCAATTTGACTAAGTCCTAGTGAAATTAGGATTGTTAAAGGATCAGATTGTGATAGTGGTTCGATCGAGTCCTGTTTGGGTTAGGATTGTTGAAGGACCATAATGAGTTTTGGTAAGATTCAAATTATTTTAAGAATCTAAACCTATGATTGATCATATAAAGAATGAAACGAGCGTAGAAAGAGACTAGGTTCAGAGTCGTAGTCCAAGTCTAAGAAGCCGAATTTGGATAGAGATAAAGTCTTGGCATGAGAGGTGTTTGTTGAGATAAGTGCCAAGGGTATCCAAGTGTGCTGAGGAGTTACATTTAGAATAGAACTTTGCTTCAGTAGACTTGACTGTCATAGAATTCACTTCTATAAATAGAAGTGGTTTGGCAACGTACAAAAGACCTTTAACTCAACAATTTACGCAATACCATTCTCACACATTTGAGAAAAATTATATATATACTAAAAGAGGAAAAAAGCCTAAAATACTGTTCCTTCTACAGTGTGATTCCTTTTTTACCCCTTCTTTGTTTCTTTAGTTACTGTTTATTGTACAGCGTGATTCCGTTTTTACCCCTTCTTTTTTAGCTCTTCTCGAGTCTTGAGCTTCGTTTTTGTCTATCTAAGAGCAGTTCCACCGGAGGTGGAATAGCCCAGCACCCTGTCCAAAAGTAAGGCCAGCACCCTGTCCAAGTGCTCCAGCCCGCTAAATAGCCTGGCACCCAGCCCAAGCCAGGCAACAGACCAACCCATTTCGGACAGACCCAGAAGCCGGCCTATTTGGTTGGCGCGTGCAGCACACTCGTGACTGGGCGTGAGTAGGAGACAAGGGTGTAGGCGGCGGGGCCCGCTTGTCAGCCTGGGACAAGTTTAGCGGATCAGGTAACAATATTTTTATTTATTTATATGCATTCCACCCACATCAATATTTTAATTTATTTAATTTCTTATGTAATTTTTATGTAATTTCTTATGCAATTTTTATGTAATTTCTTATGTAATTTATATGCATTCCACGCGCATCAATATTTTAATTTATTTATTTGTGTTACACTCGTATTTTTTATACTATCATATCCCACATTTTTATAGACACTACAAGCACAAGCATTCTACAATGCAAAGAACCATAACAAATCATTCAACAAATGGGAATGTTGGCAAATTGTCAAAGATTGCCCTAGATACAAACTTGTGGCAACCGGTCCAGAAGTTGTCATGCACGGTATGGGTCTACACAGTTCGCCAGAAGCAGACAAGGCCAAACAAGAAGCCAACACATTTGAAGACACGAAAGGGACGCTTGAAGAAGTGCTAGAGACCCAACCGACTCGTCAGTCCCTCAAGCCTCAAGGTAAAAAGGCATCAAAGAAAAAAGGTAGTTCTTCCAAAAATGACTACACTAAATATATGGAGGAACTTGCTCGCCAAGGTGAACTGAACATGGAGTGGGAAAAGACTAGAAATGAGGAAAAAGCTACTGCTATGGCAGCAATAATAGCAGCTACTGAGGCTCGTGATGCGGCGGCTGTGAGACAAAGAGAAATAGTTAATCGAGAGAACGAGATGATTAGAAAAGCACTTCATCGAGAGAATGAGATGCTTAGAGAAGAAAGGATGGCTCAAGCAAATCGTGACACTATGAACAAGTCTCTAGTAAGACTGTCTCCGAATTCAAAATATTTTTGGACATCGGAAAAAAGAGATGTTGTGCGAAAGAGGCGTGCAAGAGATGCCGAAACAAATCAAGGGGGTTCTAGCTACAGAAATCCTAGCAACGAAGATCCTAGCACCACATATCCTAACTCCACAGACTTTGTATAATTTCGTATTTATTTGTACTACTTTATTTAATTTGTTATGTAATTTCTTAACATTTTTAGAACTTTATTTAATTTCTTATGTAATTTCTTATTTATTTTTAGAACTTTATTTAATTTCTTATGTAATTTTTGTACTTTATTTAAACACATCAAATAAGATTACATAAACTCACCAAATAAACTTTTAAAAAAAACACCAAAATTACATAACCTCACCATATAAACTTAAAAAAAAAAACACACTAAATAAGATTACTTAAAAAGCAATACACTTTATTCTTCAACCACAAGCCTTATTTTAATTATCTTCGCCTTCGTGCAATGCCCATTGGCTGGTCAATCAAGTCATTTTGGCGGGTTATGTGCTAGTATGGCTCTTGCAATGAAGTGTATCGCTGAACGATCAATTCATTGTAACGTCCATCCCGTTCCAACGGCTCGTGTCGCACGGGATCTTCGGTCCGATAATGAGCATAGTAGATTTGTGTTCTTGAGTTGTTCATCGGATCTGGCTCGTATTCATCGACGACATCATAATCGTACTCGTCTTCAACAATCATGTTGTGGAGAATAATACACGTCATCATGATGGATCGGAGAGCCTCGACATCAAACATTCTAGTTGCAGCCCTGACAATCGCCCAACGAGCTTGCAGGATACCAAAACAACGCTCGACATCCTTCCTACACCCCTCTTGACACTTTGCGAAGTGTTTTTCTTTTTCATTCTGTGGATGTGGCACTGTTTTGACAAATGTTGACTACCTTGGGTAAATGCCATCTGCAAGGTAGTATGGTCCCTCGTATTTATTACCATTAACCCAATATGTGCATCTCAGCCCATTTCCTTGTAGTAGTTCGTCAAACACTGGAGATTGGGCAAGGACATTTAGGTCATTCTGAGCTCCTGGAACACCAAAAAAAGCATGCCAAATTCATGTATCAAATGAAGCCACCGCTTCCAAAATGATGCTTTTGGCTCTTTTTCTGTCGCCATAAACTCCTTGCCACGCACTTGGACAGTTTTTCCAAGTCCAGTGCATGCAGTCGATGCTTCCAATCATGCTAGGGAAGCCTCACATCTCACCCTTCCTCAGAAGCCTTCATATGTCCCTTGGCGTGGGTTGTCGAAGGTACTCATTGGTGTAGAGGGCTTCAATTGCAGAGCAAAACCGCATCAGGAACTCCAGAACAGTTGTTTTTCCCATCATTGCGATCTCATCCACTGGATCTGCAGATGCTCCATATGCAAGCATTCGCAAAGCAGTCGTAATTTTTTGCTCAGGAAGAAGACCTAGAACATGAAAAGCATCATCTTTTTGCACAAAATATGGATCATTGCTGCAAAAAGCACTCATGATTTTATCGAACAAACTTCGTTGCATTCTAAGACGACGTCTAAAAACATGATCAGGGAAAATGCTGTTGGAAATAAAATAATCTTCCAAGAGATCTTTACCTCGTTTTTCCCTTCTTCTATCGATGTTTGCCGCACGTCTGAGTTTAGCTATCTGACCCACAGCTTCCATGATATGGCGGGAATGTGAGGCCCTCCACCTTCTATGGTGATCATCCTCATCCTCCTCCATTGCGAATGCCTCATCTCCACCTCTACCTTCGTCAAGATTGACCAATTCTTCTTGTTGTGCCAACAACATTTTCTGCTGCTCTTGCAACTGTTTATACACTCTTCTTGAAGAAGACATTGTAAGACTGATTCTGAGCTAAAAAAAAAAGGATTGAGTTCAGTGTAAGGATGGATGTAGGGTTGTATGGTTTATATGGACAAAAAAAGAAAAATAAGGTTCTAGACAATGCCCCATGGCACTACGTGATTGGTTGAAAATCTTATTGAAATCTTGGCTAAATTATTGTAAACAGGAAGTGACACGTGGTGTGTCGGGATTGGTTGAAAATCTTATTAGAAATCTATCCATAAAATAGTACGTTCGGATAATGACATATGGCATGACAAGATTAGTTGAAAATCTTATCAAAATTTTGCCTAAATTATTGTAAACAGGAAGTGACACATGGCTTGTCAGGATTGGTTGAAAATCTTAGCGGAAATCTATTCACAAAATAGTACGTTCAGATAATGACACGTGACGTGACGAGATTAGTTAAAAATCCTATCCGAAATTAAAACTATTTTTTTAATTTATTATTTTATAAAAAAATTATTAATATTTTAAATGGACCGGGTGCCAGCGCATTTTGTAGGGGTGGAGATTGTTTGTGCCAACGCATCTTTAGACTGGGTGTTAGCACATTTTTTTTGAGGTGGAGATGCTTTGGCCTATTACTGTTCATTAAGGTCTATTACTGTTCACTGAAGTGGATAAATGGGCTGAGTACTGGCGCAAAGTCTTTAGGGGTGGAGTTGTTCTAAGAAGGAAAAGATCTAGATGTACACGTGTGGGTCATCTAGGAATGAAAAGAGGTAGAATATACGTGTGTTGATTCATTTGCGGTGGGAGGGAGACTATCATTCCACTCTCTATCTCATTCCACTTTCTCTCTAAAAAATCTTAGGGTAAAGTACAAAAAACTACCTCAATTATTGGGGTCACGACAGTTTCATAACTTATCTTTTAAAACTGAGAATGTCATACCGCATCTTACGAATTTGTGACAATGTCTTACCTCCGTCAATTTTTCTGTTAAATGCTGACGTGGCAAAAGACAGGGACCACTTTTTATTAAAAAATTAATAAAATATTATTAAAAACTAAAAAAAAATTTAATATCTTTCAAATATTAAAATAATAAATAAAAGTAAAATTAAAAAAAAAGGGTAAAGTACAAAAAACTACCTCAACTATTGGGATCACGACAGTTTCATACCTTATCTTTTAAAATTGACAATGTCATACCGCATCTTACGAATTTGTGACAATGTCATACCTCTGTCAATTTTTCTGTTAGTTTTTCTGTTAAGTGCTGACGTGACTTGATTCGGGACATACTTTCTATTAAAAAATTATTAAAAGCTAAAAAATAATTATTTAATATTTTTTAAATATTAAAATAATAATAAAAAGCAGAGGAAAAAAAACCATCAGTTTGTCCCTCCCCTCCCCCTCCTCCCTCCCCTCTCTTTTCCCCATCTTCATTTTCTTCCCCCCACCAGCAAACCCAAAAAGATAAAAAAATAAAAAAAATTTGAAAACCCAACAAACCCCCTGCGGAAGAACAAGGAGGGGGAGGAGGAAGAAGAAGAGGAAAAAAAGGAGGAAGGAAAAAAAAAAAATTCCCCCTTGTCGGCGCGGACGAAGAAGAAGGGAGAAGGAGAAGGAGGAAGAAGAAGAAGAGGAAGAAAAAATAAAAAAAAAATTTGAAAACCCATCAACAGCCCCCCTGCGGAAGAAGAAGAAGGAGAAGGAGAAGGATAAGGAGGAAGAAGAAGAAGAAGAGGAAAAAAAAGGAGGAAGGAATTGTTTTTTAATTTTAAAACCATCAACTCCCCTGCGGAAGAAGAAGAAGAAGAGGTAAAAAAGGAGGAAGAAATTTTTTTTTTTTTTTTTTAAACCATCAACTCCCCTGTGGAAGAAGAAGAAGAAGAAGAAGGAGGAAGAAGAAGAAGAGGAAAAAAAGAAGGAAAAAAAAAAATTTGAAAACCCATCAAACCCCAAATTCACCACTTTCATCCATTTTCTACATTCTCTTCTGCATCCATCCTCCACCTTCTCTGCACACCCATCTTCCCACCGACGGGATCTGAGTTTTTTTTTTTTTTTTTTTTGGGTTGCAAAAGGGAGAAGAGTGTGGGTGTGGGGAGAGGACAAATTGGATATTTTTTTTTTTTTCTAGGTTGCAGAAGGGAGAAGAGTGTGGGTGTGTGTGTGGGGAAATTGAGTGTGGGTGTGGGGGGGAAGACAAATTGGATATTTTTTATTTTTTCGTTTTTAGGATTTGCAGGTGGGAGAAGAAGATGAAGATGGAAAGAGGGGAGAGGAGAGAGGAGAGAGGGAAGGGACGAAATGAGGGTTTTTTTTTTTTTTTTTTTTTTTTTTTTTTTTTTCTGTTTTTTATTATTATTTTAATATTTAACAAATAATTGCTTTTTAGTTTTTAATAATTTTTTAATAGAAAGTAGGTCTCAAATCAAGTTACGTCAGCATTTAACAGAAAAGTTAACAGAAAAATTGACGGAGATATGACGTTGTCATAAATTCGTAAGATATTCTCAATTTAAAAAAAATAAGATATAAAACTGTTGTGACCCCAATAATTTTGATGTAATTTTTTATCCTTTATCCAAAATCTTAACCGGAGAAACACTTGGCTACCTTCTTCACTATGTTAACTCTGCCGTCCAACAACCACCACCGGCGGGCCAGGAGCTTGGAGGAGATGCTACCTCTGCCGCCCCCGTCCAGCTCGTCGAGATCACCCAAGACGGCTTTAATTGCAGGGTAAGTCTTCTCTCTCTCTAGAATTTTGTTTGAGATTATTTTTTTCTCTCTGTTCTGCTCAATCTTTCTGGCCTCTGATTGAATCTATTTTGTTAATCATCTTCGAAAAGTGACCTCTGAGCTTTCTCAGCCAAGGAATCGTCAGTGACTGGGTTTAGGGTTGTGGGGTTATTGATTTTCTGCCATGTTCGTCTCGGACGCCTGGACACGTTGTTTGGTAAAGTGGATTCTCCCTTCCTTTTTATTTGCCCCACTTAACTCATTATTTTCTTTCCTTTTTTTTTTTTTTTTTTTTTTGTTTCGAAGCCATCAAATAATATGTAAAATTAAATGGGTTTTCCTCTTTTTTGTTTGGTTTGGTTTTGTTTTCGTATGGTGAAACTTTCAGAAAGCTGATCAGGCTGGTGAAGCAGTATGGAGTGGGAAAATGGGCACAGATAGTTGAGAAGTTGGTGGGTAGGGCTGGCAAGCAGTGCAGAGAAAGATGGCACAATCATTTGCATCCTCATATCAAGGCAATTTGTTCTTACATATCTTTGGGATGTTATAAATTTTGATGCATGAGTAAACTAACAACTAAAAATTGCTGCTTGGATACATTTTTAGATTTGTACATTTTATTCTTTCTCAATTCTGCGAGAGAGAATAAAATTTTACTCTCTAGTCCTTTTATTTTGGTTTACTGTTGAATTTTATCACTGTCAACAAAAAACCTTTCCATGCTCGAGAGTCCCGCAGGAAAGTAGTCAATCTTATGCTCATGTTTCTGGTTTGAGTTCTCTGATTTTTCTGGTTCTCCGTTTTGGAAAATTGAAGCATTTGAGTTTGATTGAGAAACTCATTTGTTATATTATACACTTGCATTTTAAACATCTGTAAATTATTAATCTTTTTTGGGTTTTTATGTTTTTTAGGTTTGGGTTGTTATGGAATGGATGAATCAAAATTCTGCTGTTATAATTTGTACTTGCTTTATACACATTGTGCAATGTATGGTGAATAATTGATCTTCCAATTTATGCTGGACTTTTTGATCCGTTCAATTATATATCCCTTACAGAAATTTGGTCTAATACACATAGACATAATGATGGAGGTAAACAAAATGATTATAATGGTTTTGTTCATCCATTCAAACTGAAGTATAGTTATCTAATTATTACAGTTTAATAGCATTATCTTATTGCTTAGTTTGTGTTGTCCATTCTCATATTTGCTTAGTTTGTGTTGTCCATTCTCTTATTTGCTTAGTTTGGATTACCTGGCAGAAAGATGGGATTCATTTCCTTGGAGAACCTGCTGTTATTTGCGAAAAAATTTTCGGTAAGATTCCAACATTGATATGTAACTAGAAAGTTTGAAACAACAAGAAATAGGTTTCGCATACTCTCAACATAACAAGAAACTACGAAGCTTGAAATACATGTGTTATTATGGCTAATGTGCTCGACTGATATATACTTAATGTTCCAACCATGTTAGGCTGTCTAAATATGTTTATTTATGTTGTTGCAGAACATCTTTCCAGTAGCTATTGAAAAAGCAGGGTGGAAAGCAAGCTGCTTGGGAATATCCTTTCGTTGTTGCTGGTGTCAATATCATGTTTATGATCATGCAAATACTTGACCTTGAAGCCAGTAAGTGTCAAAGGTGCTCGTTTCATTCCAATTTTTGAACTTAGTCAATGATTTAGATGATAAAAGGTGAATTTGTTAATATAATTCTTTGAAATTTTTTTTCTGAAAATTGAAGAATTGTACAAGGTTGAAGCCGTTTCTTGCAATTGATATGGGAATTTCTTGAAATTGAAGTATTTGGATCTTTGACATTATTTTTCTCTCTTTTGGGAGAATAAGTAAGATGAAAACAATATTTGTTACCAGTGCATGTGAATGTTGATTGTCGAAGAATTCAAGGTTGCTATGTTGGTGAAAATCTGAAAATTGACCCAATTTTGTACAATATATTAGTTTAAAAACAATAAACACCCACACCCACACCACACACACACATATATGCACTCCAAAGTAAACGAGTTGGAAATGTTTCATAATATTTTGCTTTGAATCTTCTTTGGCATGCATAAGATTTACCATTCCCTTTTAAATAACTTTTAAAATCACCTCCAGTCCATGTTTGCTTAACAATTTTGTATCATTCATTATATAATTTCACAAATTACTGTTCATTCTACAGTGTTCTTCCTTTTTCACCCCTGCTTCTTTTTTGTTATTTCAACATTGTTGCCTTGCTTTGCTGTGAGATGAAAATGGTGACGTGGGGGTCCTCACCAACTCAATGTCATTTATACAGAGTTTTCTTCCTTTTGGATGTTTCGTCTCGCTTCTTTCTTGCTCTGCTCACACCAACTCACTTTGCTTTGTGTTCTGAAGGCTGCCATGCTTGATTTGTTCAAGTCGGCAACAACCGCATATTTTAATTTTTGTATTTTTATGGATTTTTGGCGTCTGATTTTTGTTTTTGCAGTTTTCTCAGTGATTGACTTCTTTGGCGTTTAATTTAGGTTTTTGATGTTTTCTCAGTGATTGAATTCTTGGGTTTTTAGCCGTCCCCAATTTTAGTCTACCCAGAAAAGATTAACAAGTGGAGTTTTCGCAGCATGCAGTGGATCAGCATCACCACTGTTCTTCTTGCTCGAATCCGAAAAAAAATTTTAAACCCAAAAAAGGTTGGGTTTCCTGGTGAGTTCTCTGGTATGGTCTATTTGTCAGCTCTGACAACCTTAAATACATATTCTTTTCTATTTGATGAACTGTTGATTTATTTTATTTTATCTTTTGCTTTGGTTGCATGTTGATGCATGTATTTTGTCTGACATTTTTTTTTGTTGGGGTAAGTGATTTGGTGAGTTCAGATTTACTAGCCTTATCTAATTGCAAATGTTTTCAGTTTTGGTTTCTGAGTTAACATTTAGCTACTGGATTGCATGAAGTTACTATTTAAATAAATTTTTTGTATAAGAATGCTTTGATAACAAATTAACATTTGTAAGAGGTTATGATGAATATGACTTATATGTTGTGTCGTAGGGTATTTGGGTATGGTATTGGAATACATCTTTTGCAATTTGAGGATCTGGAAAACATGCCCAACTGACTGCATATAGGCCACATACTCAATCAGTAAATAGCAAAGATCTCTAATGCGTACAGTGTTGACGATGACGCAAGTGGGATTTGACTTCATGATTAATTATTATAAAGATTATGAAAGTTTTTGTGCCAAAATTATATTCAAACATGTACATCACCTGGCAACGTTACCTGAACAAAAGCTTAACTTACTCTGATGTGAAAGAAAGAATGGTTGCATGTACATATATTGTATGAATCATGGATGAAATTGAGAAGACCAGATCGTTCGATAAATCATAAACTCCATACAAAACCTTGGGAATGCCTCTATAATTTTTTAGTGTAAAATTTGTAATAGCAATGTAATTCTCATTTATTAAAAAAGAAAAACACTAGTTTTTAAATAAAGTGTTCCTTTGTTTGTGTTTCTACAGCTTTTGCTGAATTTAATTTGAAAGTTAATATTTGCTGTTATCTTAGGCTGCTTTATGAGTTATTGAAGAAATTGGATTCAGAACTGAAGTATGAGGTCTGCCATTGGGCTGTGTATTATGTAAGTATAATCATTTTTCCTACCATTGTTTAAGACTATAGTTCCTTTTGCATAGTGTGGTTGGATCAGGTTGTATATATAGTGACCATCTCTGCTTATAATGAGCTTCCATTTGTTGTGCTGCAAATGACCATTAGCATACCACAACCACAGAATTTATGCTTAGCGTGCTGACGCAATTGATATACAGATCTTTGTACAAAATTCTCTCATATTGATGGTTCATTGAATAGTCAAAAGTATTACATAATAAACAATCAATATATATGAGGACACCATCTTATCATGCTTCTTGAAAAATTTAGAGTGTGATTTGAAAACTTGGAAGAAATTTCGGTTTTGAGCAAAGCCCATCTACTAAAATGTCTAGATTGAAGGAAAAATATGGCAAATACTACACGTGTTGTTGATGGTGGACGTGTGTAGGAGGATGGAAGCCCAAGTCTTCTCTCGAAGGTTCCAGTACGCTTTTCCATTTGTGTACAGATCTCTTGAGCTCTCAACATCGTCTTGCTCAGACTCTCTCGTAGCTCCTCATTTTCTCCCTGTGCAAATCTCAAAGACGCCTACCACAATTGATTCACCAGGTCCTCTCAGCAGAAAATTAGTTTCAATTATTGCTTTTAAATAATTTCTCTCTCCTTTCTCTAAAATCCATTTTTTATTTTCCGGAAAGGGTTTAATAGATGTCGTTTCTGTGTGTAGGTGGTACTCGGAGAAGTTTGTGAAGGGCCAATGGGACAAGGATTGCAAAAATACAATGCTTACCTCTCAGTGCGTTTCAATCTGACCTTCCTCCTAAATTTTCTTCCAAATCACAATTTATATGATTAATTTGCTGATTCTTTTTCTAGGAATTGAGTATTTGTCTCTTGATTATTTTTTGCAGAGATTGTACTAATTTCCCTTTGAATGGAAATTTGGGGTTTCTTCAGGTATAACGTTATCAAATTTTATTTTTCTAATTCTCTGATTGTGGAGTTTTGCAGGGAGTGGTATATACTTATATTTTGGGATTTTTGATCTTTGCAGGGTTTTCGCTCGCCAGACAATGATAGGCGAATCACCGCAAGAAGCAGCAATTATGCTGCAAACTGAATCCAGGATGACTGACCTGGACTCTTCATGGTGGTCGCACCTCTCCTCCTCTCTGCTCCTCCTCCAAAACCCCTCTGTAGGTTTCCAAACTTAACTTGTATTTTCTCTCTTTCAGCCCTTTAGAAGGGTTTTGGAAAAAATGATTATTTTTTTTACTATAATTTTGGTTTTGATGATAAAATTTGGATTTGCCCGTTTGGGGGTTTTTCCAGTTCAGGACCTAGGAAACAAGTAGCAATGCAGAGGCACTGTTGGAGAGATTGTGGACCTCTGTTTAATATTAATCACTAACAATAAAAATGAAAAATATAATTTGACCCAAAAAATTGTAAAATATAATACTAAATTCGTATATACATACTAAATTTCGGAGTTGATCCCTTCATGCAAGTTGTAAAGCTTTTCATCATGAATAATTACATTTAACACACTTCTACAATAATTATTATTAATTTTGCACTCAAATAAAAAACACTGTTCATGAGATTTGGAGGGTTTTAAAAATCTAAACGATCATGTAATCATCGTCTAAGCGTTAAGGATGCAATTATGAACGTTTATTATGCTTTCACATCTTTCAAATTTATACATTAATAATTATGAATTTTGTTTATTTTGAACTCCCTTAAAAATACTATTCATGAGAGTTTGTATGGTTTTAAAAATTTAAACAATCATATACCCATTCTCAAAGTGTAGAGGATGCGACTACGAGCGTTTGCATATTTTTTTCACATTTTTTACACATGTAAATTAATTATTATAATTTTTTTTTAATGTGTTTGGTATTTTTAAATTACTTGATATTTTTATTTTTAATGTGCTCTATGATTTTTAATCTCAATCTTTGCCTATAATATACTATAAAAATAAATAAATAAATAAAACTTAAAATTTAAAATTTATATAGAATAATAATTAATAAACAATATATACATATTCATTATATCTATTGTATTCTATAGTAAGGTTTTTTTAGTAGTTTAAAAAATTAAAATTATCAAAATAACTTTTTTTTTATCGTGTCGAAACAAGTTATCTGTATGTTATCTCGTGTAAACCTGTTATTAATGGGTTATTATCGTGTGATCCGATAATGATCTGGTTAGTTATCGTGTTAACTTAAAAATCCGTTATTGTCTTGTTGTTTACGCGTTGTGGTAACGGATCGTGTAAGAAATTACCAGGTCTACTTTTCTCTATCATTATCTTCCTCTTAATGCAGTTTGATTTTGTAGCACGGCATTTGCCCTATGCATGAGGGTACATATGTGTTACCTTTTCCAAAAATTGTATGCCTTTATGCGGAACAAGAGCAGGATATTTTTTGTCTACATTTTACCGGTTAGAGTGGAAGACATGGTAAGATTTGAACAGTTGATGCAAAAATGCTGAAATTGACTTGTATCGCAATAATTACGAGTATTTACTTATGCACAAGAAATTTGAAACTGTAACCCTTATATCGAGAACCAATGAAAAAAGAAAAGAAAAGAGAGCATAAATGTATGTTGCAACTGAAACACGTAGGGTGCGTTTGTTGCGCCGAATTATCTCGAACTTGACTAACTTCAGGGACTAAGCTGAAATGACTTATACTAGACTCTGGACTAACTTAATGAAGCGTTTGATGCAGTGTCTGACTAAGAAGCTGGATAATAACAAATTCTAATATTATATTATTTAATCTATAATTATTAATATTTTATTATTATCCCCTCTTTTTCTCCATCTTTTCCTACCATTCTCGTCCCACTTTCTCCCTATTCTCTCCCTTCTCCGTAGCACCCTCCTCTTTGTGTTTCCTCCTATACCTCTCGACTCCCGTCTCTCTCTCTCTCTCTCTCTCTCTCTCTCTCTCTCTCTTTTCCGGTCCAACTCCTCGATTTTAGTCTATATTTCTCTCTCCTTCATCCCTCTCTAGCTATGCGTTGTTTAAACGGAATCTCACGGCTCCATTTTTCTAGATGAGTTGCAGGTTTCCCGATGCGTTTTTCGGCCAAACCTCGTTGAATTGGATGAAGTTAGCACCACCAACAAACTCTTCACCATCCCTGGACCGGATCTGAGCTTTGCATGCTCGAATTTGTCATGGATTTGAAGAAGCCCAAACAGGTCGAGACTTCCAGGCCATTTTTCGACCACATTCGACCACCTTTTGGCCTCGATTCAATAGAATCATAATCTCGTCACTCCCAGCTTCAATTTGGTATATTTTATTTGAAAGTTGGTTGTGAAACGAATTTGAAAGAGAGTCGAATCGGAAAGTTAACAATCGATCTAGGTGATCGGAGATGACAAGGAGTCATTGGAGTGGTCATTGAGCATAACGAAGATGAGAGAGATGATAGTCTTAGCTAGTCCCATGATTTTTGGGGGGCTTCATTGAGATCGGCTAGCCCTTGATTTGGTCTAGGCGAGTGAGACTTAGTCTCATTAAATCTAATTGGCTTTTTAGCCAAAATGGTCCCAGAGATTTGCATAACACATCACTTTGGTCTTATTAAATCTAATTTGTTAAGTGCCCCGGAGCTCTTGGCCAGAAATTTGGGCAATTTTTAAAGTTTCGTAACTCAATCGTTTCTTAACCAAATTCGACCCATAATATATCAAAATGAAGATAGGAAAGTGTATAACAAGATTTCTATTGATGGTGGACAATCTCAAGGACCATTTCTATTGATTTTCAATGTCAAGGACCAAAGTGATGTGTTATGCAAATCTCAGGGACCATTTTGGCTAAAAAGCCAATCTAATCCCTACTGGGAACAAACTTGAGACTAGACTAACCCTTAGTCCTGTCTAGTCCAATGAACTTTAGTGAGGGCAAACAAACGCCCCCGTAAGGAATTAGGTTAATGCTTATTATTAAGTTAATTACAATTTGAAATACATAAATAACATTTTCTCTTCCAAGAGCGTAGAGAGTTAGGTTGAAGCACATATATTTTGTTTAAGAAGATTCAAGCCTGCTGGTTTGGCAAAGACAACATATCGGTGCACAATATATTTCTTAACTTGTCCCTCTCAGTATACAACATCCAAACTGAAATGTATGACCTTTCCGTTTGCACAAGAGGATGAGTTTTGCTGCGTATAGAGTTACTTCTATAGATCTAAAGTAGCATGGACTATAGAGGATTAGGCAAGAAAGAAACTACACAGCAGCCAATGATGACAAGTAGGGGTGGTTTAGGACGGGATCCTGTATCGAAACTCATAACCCGAATCCTGAACCAATCTATTTCGGGATGGGATTCCGACAACTGAAACTGAACAGCAATTTTGGGATTCCCAAAATTTTTTTAGAATTTTGTTACAATTCAGGATTGGCCATTTTTTCGTGCAAAGATTTCCCACTGCGCCATGGATTGACAAAGGTGGAGAATAAGGGAGGAGGAAAGATCGAGAGACAAAGAAACAATAAGCGAGTCGTGGTGGCTGCGTGATGTGGTGATGGACATGTGGTGGTTGTAAGACAAAGTCATTCGGTGGTGGTGCGTGGTGGCTGCATAGTCTAGTTGGGCGATGGAGAAAACATAGAGAACCCAGAGAGGGGAGAGAGAAAGAATATCAGGGTATGAAGCAAGTTGAGAATGTTAAATATAAATTAATGTTCAGTTATAACGTTTTAGTTTTACCTGTGTCTGTATGAAAGGCATGTTGGTTTTGTATTGTGAAGGCCAAGTTATCTTTGCTTTATGTTTGAAAGTCAATATGCCTAGAGTCTAGATGTTAGCAAAGAGGTGGAACTAGACTTGGCAATTTCTTACACGATCTGTTAACACGATACGTAAACGATACAAAAATAATAGGTTTCAGGTCAACACGATAACTAATCGGGTCGTTTTCGGGTCATTATAAGAACCTGTTAATAACGAGTCCTTAATAGGTTTACACGAAGGTGACAAGTAGGTAATCCGTTTCGACACGTTAGGAAAAAAATTATTTTGAAGATTTTAATTTTCTAAACTATTGAAAAACTTATTATAAAATACGATAGCCATAATGTATATGTATATATCGTAATTTAAATATGTATTATTGTATTAGGAAAGCAAGGTTCTTTATCAGAGAATGGACTCTTATGGAATGCCTGATTGCATTTGCACATGATTTGTATAAACAGCCTTTCCGCATGGATTAGCAATCAAAGTTCAGGGATAGTCTGGGAATAAGTTTTCTGTGTAGCTATTAGATATAGGAGATAGTTTCACTTAACCATTCCCCTCCTGTAGCCAAAGTGTTAGCGGCTATAGCATCCACCGGTAATGCGTGGAAGAGGGTAAGCTTTCTGTGTGGATAGGATGTATCAACACCTTTTGCATCTTTTAAAGGAAATATATAAGAATGGCATTTTATTAATTAATTAATTAATTTTTATAATACACCATAGTAAAGAGTGACATTAAAACGTTATAAAACACAATTAAAAATAAAAATATCAAACACATTAAAAAAATTATAATAATTAGTTACAAGTGCGAAAAATGTGAAAAAATATGCAAACGGTTGTGATCGCATCCTCTAGTTTCGAGTATGGGTACATTGTCGTCTGAATTTTTAAAAGGAAAACTAATGAAAAAGGCTTGAAAACTTTGAGTTTTAATGATAAGGCCAAAATAAAGGGTAAAGTGAATAGTAGCAGAATTGACTTTTTAGTGTAAAAATGTGGTTTTTCATTAAAGTGAACAGTACCGTAAACTTTTCGTTAAAACTCCCATTTTTAAAACCATACAAATCCTCATGAATAACATTTTTAAGGGAGTTCAAAATAAATAAAATTCATAATTATTAATATACAAGTCTGAAAAAAATGTGAAAGCATATATAAACGTGCAAAGTTCCTCAACCTTGAAACACAATTCCTTTTATTGTGCATATCCTTGAACATTTGGTATTTTGTAATAATGTATTAATGTTTTTTCATTAGGCTCTTATTTTGGAGTATGTAATACTTGAAAGACAAATGTTGTTATTTATTTAGTTATTTTTATGTTTTGAAGTAATGTTTATGTGACAATATGGTATGCATATACTAATTTTATATTATGTTTTCCATTTTTTGGGTCAAATTATGTTTTTCATTTTCATTATTTATTAATTTAAAATATATTTTCTTTAACTGGTAACAAATCGGGTCATATTACTTGATAATATTAATAGGTCGATTTCAGGTTTGGTCAAATTACCCGTTTACTTTAATGGGTGTTACACGACATGACCCGTTAAAATGAGTATGTCACGAAAACAAAACGAACATGGAAAACACAATACGAATGACAAGTATATGTGAAAGTCATTATGCTCCAGACAGAATGATGATAGCTAAGGTGTAGGAAGCTTTATGCTCTCGATTCCCGTGTGTAAAACTTCTCTTTAGGTGAAAACATTGCAAAACCAAGTTTCGGTTCCTCTGTTTGAGAAAAAAAAGGAAAGAGATTGGTTTCTATAGAAAGAAGAAAACTTGTTCTCTTTTCTTCTTTCTAGCATATCTCTTGTATAAGCCTGTTGTGTATGCTCTATCTTGATACTAATTAAATCCAACAAAGAATGAGGACCCTCTGGGGGACTATCTGATGAGAAGTAAGCAGCTTGGCCACGGCGTGGCATCTCTCGGTCAGTGATTGGGCACTGGAAGGACACAATGAGGGTTGGGAATTTAGCGTTTTGGGGGTTGGGAGGGGGGACGAACTATACTTTTCACTCACACTTCTCAAAGAATTGGGAATTGATTAAACCAAGTGTCAGTGTGGCAATTTAATTAGTTACTAGAAAACTTGAGCACATCTCATCTCATATTTGTTTGACATATTCGGCTGACAAAAATAATTAAAGAAATGCAGAATGAGTAAGTGCGAAAATGGTAAAGCACAGATGAGAGGATGGGGTATGGAGTCGGCAGTCGAACGGTAGCGTAACCGTAGCCACTTATGTTAGAATCCAAAACTAAAAATTCCCAAAGCATTTAAGGCACAAAATACAAACAAACTGCCACAATATAAGAAACAAAAACAACATTGATCTTCTTCCATATCCCATCAATTGGTAGACAATAAATAAGACAAATTAATCCCACTAAACAATGTCATAGGCAACAAAGCAACAACAATGCTTTCCCATTTGACACATAATTAAACAATTGTAAATGAAATTAAGCATGTTACTTCCACAAGAATCTGTGCAAAGAAATAAACATTGCTTCTATGAATATCCCTTCTTAAAAGAAATCTCAATGTCATTTACAATAGAATTGCTTATCTTTCTGAAGGAGGAAACAAAATTGTATTAAATTTCCCATAACAATTGGTCAATGCTTACAGTCACACCAGTGGTAAATTGTTGCATTCTTCTGTGTTATCAAATGAACTCAAAGATTCACTAGCTTTATCAAAATCTTGAAAATCATCATCATCAATGGTAAAAGTTCCTGTGAGCTCCTTGGCTCTCTGGGCTTGAAGATCCCAATTGGTTCTAAACAAAGCAAACAACATGGTCAAAACACATGAGCCTTGGGCTGCCAGAAGACCAAGCCAAAGTCCTCTAAAATCAAACTGTTCATATAAACTCAACCACACAGCAACAGGCATTCCCACAAGATAAAAGCAACCCAAATTTATGTTTGCTCCCAATTTTGGCCTAGCAGTTCCCCTCAAAACACCACAACCTGTAGTTTGTGGGCAGTTTCCGAGCTCGCATAGGCCGATAATTGGCAACACCATTGATGTCAATGCAATAATCTCCGAGTCTTTGGTGAACATGCTGGCCCAAATGTTCCTCACAGTCACAGCAAACAACAATGCTGAAAATCCCAATATGAAGCTATAAGATAGGCCTACAATTGTTGCAAGTCTTGCTCTTTCGGGGCGGTTAGCACCAAGCTCATTTCCCACCCTTGTTGACACACCAAAGCTTAAGGAAGATGGGAAAATGTATATCAAAGCTGTGGTTTGGATCAGAATTCCCATTGAAGCAACAGTTGCTTGAGGGTTAAGCAACAAACCACATAGCAAAATCATGATCTCATACCACCACCATTCTAAACAAACCGATATGCAACTTGGAATGGCCAAATTCATTAGATTTTTCCACCCTGCGAAGCACTCTTTGGAAAAACCACCCCATGTTCTCTTGTACACACCAGAGATTGCAATGTAAGCTATCAATGATCCAACGAGGTTGACATTAGTCCAAACCCCGCTTAGTGCCACGCCTTTGATCCCAAGATTGAGAACATGAACAAGAAGGTAATTGATGGGAATGTGAAGAAGAATAGCCAAAGCTGCACAGAATGTGAGAGGCATGGTTATGGATTGAGTTCGGAGATAAATTCGCAAAGGGTGCAAAAGGCTTTGAGCAATGAGGTCAGGAAGAGAGTAAAGAATGTAAGAATGAGCCTCAGTTGCAATCTCATCTTGTTGGCCACAAAAAAGCAAAATCGTTTTCATGTTGAACCACAGAAATGCAATTGGGATTGAAGTTAAGAGAAGAAGAATAACTGTTCTCTGCAGGGTCAGGCCTAAAAGTTTGAATTTTTTGGCTCCGTAAGCTTGGCCGCAAATGGGTTCCATCCCCATGGCAAGGCCAGAGAGAACAGAATAACCTGTGATGTTGGCAAATCCTATGGCAAGCGAGCCACCAGCCAATGAAAGCTCGCCGAGGTGGCCTAGGAAGAGCATGGAGATCATTGAGCGAGAGTAGAGTAATAGACCCGTCAATACCATTGGGAAAGCTATGTTGGCTATGCATTTGGCTTCTGTGAGAGCCAAAGATAGATGGGTTTTGTGGGGATTCTGGTTGGATTGCTCAAGTTTTGGGCTTTCTGGGATCAAAGGAGCTAACTTGTCCATGTTGAGAGAGAGAGAGAGAGAGAGATTGCTCAATTGGGTATGTGCAGAAGTGTGTATGGGATTTAAAGGGAAGGTTTATAGGAATGAAAAGAAAACAAAAACTTAAGACTTTTGGACGGCCATTGTGGAAAAAAAAAAAATGAAAAAGAAATAGAGAGAGACTTCGGCGCTTATTATACAGAGCAATTTCTGAATTTCTTGGGAGTTTCAAGCGTCTTTTTATGACCAAAGCTTGATGACAATGCTGGGGGGTCTGCAGGCTCAATAGGGATATTATTCAGTTGCTAATTCCAAATGGACCGCAAGAAGTGAATGCATGCTGACCTCAATTAAAGGCTTAATTTTTTGTCTAACTTATTACTACGAGTCAAACTTACTATTAAGTTTTTTTTTCTTTGTCAATTTATTAATACTTAATGGTGCTGTTTAAGAGGCATGAAGAACGTTTCCAGTTTAGGATTCTTCTCGTCAAGACAAAATTTGGGTCGGACGGTTTTCTGCCCATTTTTAAAGAGAGGGTACACACACACACACACACACACACACACACACACAGCATCTATAGTTTAGTAGGGCAAAAATTAAATGAAACATCAATGAGGTATTCATAAATAACAAAATTTGAAACCCCACTGTTTAAAATCTTTATTGAGGTGGTAGCGTATACAGTGACAAAGGGTTGTAAAGTTTGGTGTTGTTATGAATTTGGTAAATTTTTCTGTTTATAACTTACAAAAATATTATTTTCACGGTATAATTAATAGAAGCGAGGCTCACACATTACTCTCCAAAAAAAAAAAAACAGATGTCAATAAGACAATATTAGGGACTGGAAATGGTAATAACCAGGAGTAAGGCACATCATCGTCATGTGCTGTACAAGTAAATGGCAAGGAAGAGGCACTGCAAGCAATTGCCAATACCTGCCGTGACAACCAAGCAATTGCTAAAGTTTTAATTTTGTTTGTGAGAATATTTGGGGATTGAGTGCATATATTTGGAGATATGATTTAGGATTTTTCGTGCCCATCAAGTGTTCCTTAGTATTTAAACCATAGATTTGATATCCTTATAAGTCCTATGAGATATGTGATCAACCATATTTATGAAGCATGAAACTAGTAAAAGATTGGGTAATGTACAAAAAATACCTTAATTATTGATGTCACGACACTTTCATACCTCATCTTTTAAAATTGACAATGTCATACCTCATCTTTAGAATTTGGTCCAATGTTATACCTTCTGTTACTTGGCCATTGACTTTTCAGTTAAATGCTGACGTGGCTTGATCCGGATCCCATTTTCTACTAAACAATTAATAAAATATTATTAAAAACTAATAAAAAAATAATTTTTAAATATTAAAAGAAAAGTAAAAAAAAAAAAATCCCACTTTCCTCCTCCTTCCTCCTTCTTTTGCAGATTCAGATTCAGGTTTTTTTTTTTTTTTTTTTTTTTTTTTTCTTCTTCTCCTTCTTCCTTCTCCTCCTCCTTCTTTCTCCTCCTCCTTTTGCAGATTCAGGTTTATTTTTTTTTAATTTTTTTCTTCTTCTTCTTCTTCCTCCTTCTTTGCAAATTGGGGTTTTTTTTTTTTTTTCTTCTTCCTCCTCCTCCTCCTCCTCCTTCTTCTTCTTCTGCTTCCTCTTCTTCCTCCTCCTCCTTCTTCCTCCTTCTTCCTCCTTCTTCCTCCTCCTCCTTCTTCTTCTTCCTCCTTCTTCTTCTGCTTCCTCTTCTTCCTCCTCCTCCTTCTTCTTCTGCTTCCTTCTTCTTCTGCTTCCTTTTCTTCCTCCTCCTCCTTCTTCTTCTGCTTCCTCTTCTTCCTCCTCCTCCTTCTTCCTCCTTCTTCCTCCTTCTTCCTCCTCCTCATTCTTCTTCTTCCTCCTTCTTCTTCTTCCTCCTTCTTCTTTTGCATATTCGGGTTTTTTTTTTCTTTTTCTTCTTCTTCCTCCTTCTCCTCCTCCTTCTTCTTCTTCTGGGTTGCAGATTCGAGTTTTTTATTTTTATTTTTATTTTCTTCTTCTTCTTCCTCTTTATTTTCTTATTCTTCTTCTTCTTCTTGGGATGCAGATTCGGTTTTTTTTTTTCTTCGTCTTCTTCCACCTTCTTTTCTTCTTCTTCTTCGTTGCAAATTTCTTTTTCTTCTTCTTCTTGGGATGCAGATTCGGATTTTTTTTTCTTCTTCTTCTTGGGATGCAGATTCGGTTTTTTTTTTTTTTCTCTTCTTCTTCTTCCTCCTTTTTTTCTAGGTTGCAGAAAGGGGGCTGGAAGGGAGAAGAAGATGAAGATGGGGGAGAAGAGAGAGAAGAGGGAGGTGGGGGGGGGGGGGAAGGGTACGAACAGAAGGTTATTTTATTTTTTTATTTATTTATTTTTAACTTTTCTTTGTTATTTTAATATTTAAAATTATTAAATGATTTTTTTAATAGAAAATGAGACCAAGATCAAGCCACGTCAACATTTAACTGAAAAATAAACGGCTAGGTAACGGAAGGTATAACATTGGACCAAATTCTAAAGGTGAGGTATGATATTGTCAATTTTAAAAGATGAGGTATGAAAGTGTCGTGACACCAATAGTTAAGGTAGTTTTTTGTACTTTACCCAAAAAACAAATCTAAAGCGAACCCAGTTCGTTCCCCCCACCCCCCCAAACCCAACCCTCTGCCAACCCCAAATCCACCACTCTCGTCCATTCTCCACATTCTCTTCCGCACCCATCCTCCACCTTCTTCGTGCACCTATTTTTTTTTTTTTTTTTTTCTGGGTTGCAGGAGGGAGAAGGGGGGTGGGGAGGGGGGGAAGACAAATTGGAATTTTTTTTTTACTTTTTTTTTATTATTTTAATATTTAAAAAATATTAAATTTTTTTTTTTAGTTTTTAATAATATTTTAATGATTTTTTAATAGAAAGTGGGCCCTGAATCAAGCCGCATCAGCATTTAATTGAAAAGTAAACATCTAAGTAACAGAAGGTATAACATTAAACCAAATTCTAAAGATGAGGTATGACATTGTCAATTTTAAAAGATGAGATATGAAAGTGTCATGAAACCAATAGTTGAGGTAGTTTTTTGTACCTTACCCTAAAAGATTTATGTGAATCAATTATTTCAAATTTTGAAAGAGCGGGAGGGACAAGAGGGTTTCGGCCTCCGAGCCCTAACTTTATTTGTTTATTTTATTTTTATAAACTCATAGCCTAACTTATTGAGTCACTTAGTATTAAGATTCATCTTCAATTGTAAATGAGAGGCCTTTGATGAGAATCGAACCTGAGACCTCTCACTTACAAATGAAGAGGAATATCACTATACTGTAGTACTAAGTGGCTTGTCAAAGGCAAATTTGAACCACATTATTATCGCTTAGCCTATTGTGTGACTTAGCCCACTCCCTCACCCCTTAGTGTAGATAATATTATTTGTTAAAAATAAATAAATAAATAAATAGCCTAACTTAATGAGGATTTTTCTCCTCTGATTAAATAAATTAGAAAGGGGATATTAATAGGTATAGTTAAATTTATTTTTTTTATAATAAAAAATATTTAGAAAGGGGTTGGGAAAAAAAATAGTTTTGAACTCGCCAACCAACGAAATTTGAACTCAAACCTTTCATTTTACAAGTGCTAGATCATAGTATTAAGTGACTACTAGGTAGTTAACTAAGAGAAAATAATGTAATTTTTTTTTTTTTTTTGAACAATTGATATTATCTACATTAAGAGAGTGAGAGAATGATGTTAAGCCTCACAATGAGCTATCAATAATATGGTTCAAATTCACCCTTGGCAATAATTGAACCTAAAACCTCTCACTTACAATTAAAGAGGAATACCACTAGATCGTGGTAAGAGAAAACAATGTAATTAGAGCTTAGTAAAAAAAAAAAATGGTTTGGGGTTCAATGCTAGGCTACATAAGATAAATTTGTTTGAGGTTCAATGGTCAGGTTACCTAGGGTAAACCGATATTTGCAAACATGAGTTTAGCCACATTGACTAGAACAATGTGCTCGATTATTTGTACTCAAGTTCAAAAATATCTCGCTTTACTTGATAAGAATTCAGTGCAAATTGTCCAAAAATGAAAAGGTAAACGATATTTGTCTTTGGATGCATTCTTTGAATCATAACTTAACTAATTTTTTTCACCCAATAATGTGTCTATATAGTTGTTTGTGTTATGTGCTATAGATGAAAAAAAAATATTTTAGGGAACAATATAGGTATAATACCACAAATTAAGATAGAGACATGATCAAGAGACAAATGTTTTTACACTTTTTTAAGCCTTTATATTATATAACATAAAGGGTCCTCATTCATTCATAAATGACATGGATGCTTACGTGAATTTTAACTAATATTAAAACAAAAAATAAAAAAAATTCTGGAAGGAAATTAAAAAGGAAGAAACTTGTGAGCGTGAAAACAAGAAAGGACGTAAAACTCCATTGATTCGAAGTAATTTATTCTTCTCACTTTTGAGAAGAAAAAAAAATTTCTTGATTTTGTTTCCAAGCAGTAAGACTTTTATCAAATGTATAGCCAAAGGTGATGAATCATTCGAAAAACAATCTAATGTCAATCCAATGCGTTGTTACTCTGAAGTAGACACTTTCAATCGAACCATACGAAATTCGGACGCAAAAACAAATCAAGTTTTAGTCCTTTTTTTCTTTTAATTGTATTATATTTAATATTAGTTGAAATTCTTACAATAATCCATGGGATAAATTAGGTTACTATCCCTCATTTTTCTTTTTCATTAATTGAAACCTTATTGGGTTTTTTTTTTTTTTTTTTCCATTTTTGATCATGGTCCCTTGACTTTTCTCCATGTCATTATTAGAATATTAAATTGTTTACAAGTCATTATATGTTTTTAGTATTTTTTTTAGTAAATCTTTTTAGTATTTTTTTTTTCATATATTTCTATTTATAATTTGTACCCTTTTTTCAATTTGTACCAATATTCTTTTTATTTTTAATTTGTACTCATAGTTTAATTTAATTTGTACCCATAATTTTTTTCATGCTAATTATATGTATTTATTTCATGTTTCAAAATAGGATAAACTAGATTACCATCCCTCATCTTTCTTTCTCATCAATTGAAACCTTATTCTTTTTTCATTT